TACCTCCGACAGCTTCCTCCATACAAGACATCTATACGTGAACACCTTCCATAACTTAGGAAAATTTTCTTTAATACATGAACTCCTTCAACAACTTAGGAAATTTCATCTATACGTGAACTCCTTCCACAACTTAGAAAAATTTTCTTTTATACACGAACACCTCCCATGACTTAAACAATTTTTAACAAATTTTCTAATTATCTTATAAACGTTATTTAACTTAATTTTATAATATTTTTTTGACTTGTATTTCTATTATTTATCTTATTTTAAATATTTTTTCAAGTTTTTAAATAAATTTATTTATTACGAAAAACAATAATTTTAATTTACTTTAATTTACTATGTTAATGGGATAATGTCTGAAATATATTAACTTTATGTTTATTAATTTAACTTAATTGCTTAATATATATCTTTTAAGACTATTTTTGACGCCCCTTTATATTGAATTTAATTATTAATAATAATATTGGGCCGTCACAATTAGAATGTGGGGAGCAATATACTTTAATTAGCCTCTTGTGTAGGTAAATACAAGTTTCAGTGCATCTAATTCTTATGTCTTTTAAAAATAAAAATAAATGATTTAGAGTATTAAATTTAGAGTACCTAGACATCAATTTTGATGTATTTTGTAATTTTTTTATAATGGCAATAATTGCAGGGTTAAGTTTACCTCCTATTTTATCTCCTGTAAAATTCTGGCATAGGGATACGTTAATTTTCTCTCTTGTTAGTGGAGAATCGGGGTAAAAATTTTTTGTCTCCCGCCCGTGCTAGCCCGGCAGGGCGACAGTCTGTGTCCAATCTGGTTCCATCTCACTTTAAACCTTATCAGTTCTTTACTGGAGGGCTCCGGGAGGGGATTTCAGCTTCGGAAGGGAGGTACAAAAGTGACCGACCTTTTATTTATAAATGACCTCAAATTATTCACCTCCAGTCGCTCCAATTTTGTGGAATTACTAAACATCACTTGTGAATTTAACAATTCTATTGAAACGGAGCTGGGGACGGATAATAGTGCGGTCCTCCGTGTTGAAAAGGGAAGGGTTGCTAACTCTGAGGGCATAGACTTATCTATACCCGTCAACATAAGGAACCTTTCTAAGGCTGAAACATACCAATACCTGGGTATGTCACAGAACGTCGGTATCGATGAGGCAGGTATGAAACAGTCAGTTTGCGACGTGTTTTATGCATGCTTGACCAAAGTGCTTAACAGCCTTTTGTCCGGTGTGAATAAGACACAAGCATATAACGGTTGAGTCATGCCTGTACTCATGTATACTTTTGACATACTTAGTTTGCTGAATTCAAAAGGGGTAAAACTAACCTTAAAGATGACCAAAGAACCGGGGCCCCGCAAACAGCAGTAACGGCAGAAAATGTATAGACTATTGAATTGTTGGTACGAGAATACCCACGAATCACTTATACGGACATCGAAAAGATTGTAGGTATTAGTTCAAGGAGCATTAATGCCACCCTACATCAACATCTTGGTGTGAGGAAGCTTTGTTGCCGATGGATCCCTCGTTTACTCTCCGAAGCGAAAAACAGACTCGTGTGGATTGGTGACATGAAATGCGTCTACGTTTTGAAAACGAAGCATCTAGGCGTGTGTAAGAAATCGTCACTGGTGACGAGACATAGATCTATCAATATGATCCAGAAAATAAAATGTAATCATCATACTCAGAAGAACAGTTACTGACATAATAGTTTTATTCAATTTCAATTTATCATAAAAGGTATTAAATACATTAAGAATAGCAAGTTTATCTCGTCCATTTATTAGAGGTTTTTCCAAATAATTGTCTTTTCTTCAAGCTCAAATTTTATAAGAAAATTTGTTGACGATCCCTAGGGCAGATACTGTTCAATTTTGAGCTTGTTGTTTTATTTTATAACCTCACGAACTGTGCCGAAGGTAAAGTATGCCGGATCCAATTACGTAGTTTCGGATGGAATTTTGTTTTATGATCCCGTAAACCTAATGGAAATTACTTTTTTATTAATTTATCAAAGCTTAATTTTAGTTTGAAAATATAAAACAGTTGCGTGTAATATATTTTTTTAATTAATTAGGCTTGACAGAATTGAAAGTGCTCTGATATAATTTATTGACTGCCTCGTTGGTCTAGCGGTTGTGGTAGTGCAACTGTTGATGATGAAGTCCAGGGTTCAAATCCCGGGTCGGGCCAAAAAATTAATTATTGAGTTTTTTCGTCAAGAATTCTCAGTAGTTGCCCAGAGTCAGGAAGTTGGCGGTGTCTCACACCCGTGCCTCGGAAAGTACGTAAAGCCGTTGGTCCTGCGCCTGATATCTCTCCGGTCGTGTCGGTTTACCGTCCCATCGGGTTATGAGAGTGAGCGAAGAGAGAGTGCACCTGTGCTTGCGCATCCACTTCGACACTATAATCGTGTCCTGCGCCGATGGCTAGCCTCCGTTGAGGCAGGCCTCCGTGGTCGAAATTCGGGCTGGAGGACATTATATTATAATTTTTAAAAAAGTAAAGATTTTTCCTGCTGTTTTCGGTTAACACGGTGTCGTTAGTAGTGTGCAAATATCCTGTAGTTATTTAAAATCTTGGCAGAATCGTTCGTCTTGCCGTTATGCTGTAGAAGCTAGCTGAATTACATTATGAGACACTACTATTTTGATCTGTGCTCCTGTAATACGATTTAATTTTCATTCCAATATTTTTGATCATCTTTATGTAGTTGAGGAAGTGAAGCATGTAATAAGTAATCATGTTAAACGTTTAACTCTTGTATATATAGAGGTCAGTGGTTTAACTATACAAATTGCTTGAAAGTTTAACAAATTTCAAATATTTATTATCACATAATAAGTTATGTATTGTTTAATATTTTAATTTCGTAGAAACATTTACGGCAAGTTACTGTGCACTAATTTTTTAGAGTCGGGGCAAAGTTAACGTTGGCACTGACAAATTTGTTAATTTATTTATTGATCATCACGTGTTCGGTGGCGTAAACAAAGGTCGTGAGAAATCCTGCACATTCCACACATTAAAAACAATTAAGGGCATGTAAAGTACTGAGCAGTTGTGGTGTAAGAATATAACAACTAAATAATAAAAGAAATCGTGGGACCTGACCAACCTGTTAGACAAACGTGGAAACTATATACCTCCCAATGCTATGGAGATCCCTATGTTCAGTAGTAGACTTTAAAGGTAAAAAGTTAAAGTTACCACCTATATACGTCCCTCTGCTGGGCACAGGCCTACGCTGATTACTGAGAGGGTTTTAGGGCAAGGAATTGTGTTGGCGAACTTCACATGTCTTCGAAATATTTTTTTTCTTATTTCTCAGACATGCAGGTTTCCTCACGATGTTTTCTTTTACCGCGCTAACCATCTGAGCTACCACGGCTCACTTTGATTGGCTGTTATTAATGAATTTTATTTTTACTTATTACAAGCCAGTGATTGATGACAATTCCACCCGTTGGCAAGTGGTGATGTAAGTGACCCCATTCACTCCTAGGAAAAGAGAGGGAAGGATTAAAGCATGTAATTCCTAAATAACGACAGGCTGGCTACTCTGCGTCTGAGCTCGAGGCTGACATGATTGGTTTCAACTAAATCAATGTTAAATGAAGCCTTTCAAATTTCACTACTCCATATCATTCCGTGGGTGTCGTCACTGTTGTATAGAGAGAAACTCAAACAGGAGTTAGACAGTAGCATCTTAATAATAAAAACTCAATGCTAGTAATTAAAAACTATGATTCTAATGGACGACATACACGGTCAGTTCAACTGATCGTTCCGACTGACAAGTTTAAACTAGGACTGTTGATATTTTTTTAAATATCGGATTTTCGATATATCGATAAATAAACTTATATATGTCGCAGGTATATTGTCAAAGTCGTGATATTACAATTTCCCTAGTGTTATTATAATTGAATGATTTGAAGAGATTAGCAATCGACTTCATTTCTTACAATTTAACGGGCTTTGTCGATGGAGCACCGCTTCGTGGGAGCCTATTCCTCCTTATTCGCTCGCTCACTCGACCCCGCCATCTCCTTCTAACCTAACAAGTCCGAGTACGGATGCCCTAGTCCCGAGCTCGCTTCGCTAAAAAATTAATAAATAAACAAATGTGATTTTTTTTAGAAAAAATGTTTTTTTTGTGTAGATTAACAAAATACCGTTCAATTATAATATCACTAGTGAAATTTTAATATCACGGCTTTGACAATATACCTGCGATATATATCACTCCGATATTGATATATGTATTTATAATTATCGATATATCCAAAATCCGATATTTAAAAAAATATCAACTGCTCTAGTTTGAATTGATCAGTTGAACTGACCGTGTATGTTGCCACCACCTATGAAAATTATGTCACTTTGAGTCAATCTATGGAGGAGAAGTTAGTATAGCAGTGAACTTTTGAAGAGCTGTAATAAATGAATGAATAAAAAAATGTAAAGAGTTTTCCTTGCCTTAAAAACCATCTTAGAAATAAGTAAACGCCAGTGCACAGCAGAATAATATGTGTAACTTATTACTTTTACACTAGTCTACTAGCTACATGCTCACTTAGATAAGTTAAAATGAGATCCATGATATAGTTAAATATTAAAATATAACGTACACTGTATGTAGATCTCCTACATAGATTTCCATATTAATCTATGGAGGAGATTTATGTTCAAGCAATTCTTCAAGTTCTTGTAGACTTAGCAATAACTTGCCCACTCGCATATGTAAAGTTTAAATTACATATTGGCGACGAACAGGCAGCGCTATAGTGTGAGACACCGATCTATAAGCCAGTCGTGTTGATTTCAGCAAATAAGTTCGGGAGATCATAAACATACAGATATATAGCCCCCTTAGGGAATTATTGAAACAAATAGATTAAAGTAATAAATATAATTGGTGAATAAAATATTACACTTTTGCTTGATTAACCTCTTGGTTCACTTCGTTACTTCGGTTGTTTAGTTTTCAGATTGTATTGGCATAGGAAAGTGCACAGGAGTTCCATCACCCAGTCTTTTCGCTATTCCATTAATCATTTCAGGCGTTGCTTCACGAAGATCATACGCCCATCCAATTCTTTTAAAAATGTTTATAAATGTGGTGCATAAGTTAAATGTATCAAAATGTTCGGCAGCTTTATAGTCAAAAGGGAAAACATGATGGTAATTATGCCACCCCTCTCCAAACGTGCATGTCGCAACAAAACGGTTTTCTCTCGGGACTATATTCCTAAAAAAAAAGAAGTATAACTATAGTATAACTGCGTTAGATTACTGCAATCTTTACACTGATATAACTAATAATGGAGTATTTAGGTAATAATTAACAAATACCGAGTACAATATAAACTTGTACAATAATAAACAATAAACTTTATTTTCGAGGATAAATATAACATACATACATACATACATAGTGAGAAATCGACTAGACTTAACTGACTAAATTAAATCCTTTTTTCCAGCTTATATTTTTAAATTTAAAATTTTAACTAGTTTGTGGGACTCTTTCTTCCGCCAGTATCTGCAATGCTGGGTTCCGGTCTGGAGTATAGATAGGCAGTATAGTTATAGGCTCAGATATTCCATCTTAGTTCTCACATATGACCATGAATTTTTTCTTTGTTTGAAGTTGACTGAAGGTGTCCATGGAGCGCAGTAGCTACTTACTGTCAGGTGGAATGTAAGCTTGTTTGTCACTTTAGTTTAGTTTTCATCAGCACAGCACTTTAGTTTTCTATCATGAGCACAGCCTATAAAAGTCCACTGCTGAACATAGGCCTCACCCATATTGCCTCGTATACCCTCATAGGGGGGGATTGCATAGAATACTATAATACATACATAATAGAACGGGGGAGTGACACGTATATTTACACGTATAAATGGCAACACAATCAATCGTTTCCAATTTTCGTGTCAAGCGTCGCTGCATGCAAATTATAAAAAAAATGGCAAATTGTGCTATAATAAAATCGTGTCGAAAGCCACCGGGAAATCGAATTTAAATAAAGGAGATATATTCTACAACCAGGCCAAACTATTTATATTTTGTGAATATTAGAAACAAAAATAAAGAAACATTTATGTGTCAAAAACATTAACCAAAAGTCTAAAATGTGTTTGTAGTAGTCATAATACGACGTGATTGCTTGTATGTGTGCTCCCGGCGACGCCAATCTTCCTACGAAGTAAGGTTGACAGCCATTCTATTGTGTATTATAGTATTCTATGGGAGATTTTGGCATCATTGCCACGCATGGCGAGCGGGTTGTCAACCACAGTTTTTTTTATAATTTTGAGTTGTTATCAGGAAGATGCGGCTGCCCATCACCAGTTTCAATTTCCCTCTGACGCCTCTTACGACACCCATAGGACGATATGGGTTAGTGGATATTCTTTCACCGCCACTACACGTTTTGTCAGTATACACTTTTATGGTACAATATATTAACTAATTGTTAGCATTTTTAATTGTCATAATACATAGTATAGGTACTATCGGTGACCAAAAAAATAACAGTATCATAATCTATTATTAAAATGATCTTTAGTTCGATACGGTATACATACTTGTTATAAGGTTTATATCCATAGGCATGTGCTAAGCTATTAACTGTAAGTTCACTGTGGAACATGCTCAGGAATCGTATGAAGCACTGCCAAGCTACAGCGCAACGCCAGTTTTCTCCCCCACAACCATATGCTCATTGTAGTTGGTATCACGTAGCAAAGCATTATTTTGAAGTAATTGAAATACCTAAGAAAACATTGTCTTGATGTAACTGAAGTATAAGGGAGAATAATTTAGCTTTTTTTTGATTGACGAATATATTCAGACAACTGATTGATAGGGAACGATATATTTAAGAGAATGTCGGGAAGCAGTTTATTTCCCAGTTGAGTACAGTCAGTTTCGTCTGTTAACCTTGGCGTATACAATATATCTTTATAGTGAGAACAACATTGTCATAATAATCTGACAAGAGCGTTACGGGCGGCTTAGGCTCATGAAAAGCGATGACCGATGATGCCGAAGCCTAATGTATTTAAGTACCTTAACTAAAATATAGGGTTGTTGTGCATCCCGAAACGCCACAAAATTGTCTGGTGCCCTCACCATACAATTTTATGGCAGGATCATCTTACCTTATATAAACTAATGCAGAACCTTCGTACGGATCAGCACCTGGAAATCACCTAATAGCAAATAACACCAAAAAAATCCTAAGCCCTAGTGCTTTGGTTTCGGCTTTTTGTCCGTTTGATATATATATATATATATATATTTTTTTCAGTATGTAATAAAATAAAAATATAGTTATGAAAGGTTTACATACTTACACACACAACACACACAACACACACACACACACACACACACACACACACACACACACACACACAGACATCCGTACGTGAAATTAGTCAGAATATCTTCCTAGGATCTCAAAACGTCGAGATCTGATGAAAACTCGATTTTCGAAAATCGGGGTGAAACCAATAACTTCCCTATTTTTGAAAATTTTCAATTTTCTTAGCGGGAAGTTAAAAAAGCTTAATAATTATGGGTGATGCCTTCACAAAAATTAATATTTGGGACATTTTCTAAAAGGTTTAGCAATCGACTTAAACATTTATGCAATAATTATACCAGTCTTAATTTACAACTTTAACCTGACACATTTTATTGTTTTATTTTGTTTAAAAACCGACCTAAGTTCAGCTTATACAAACTAATTGGACGATGTGGACTTGTGAAAATAAAGGAATTAAACGGGGGGTTGAAAAAGTTAAAAGTAATAAATAAATCCGTAAATTAAAATTTTATAACTTAATTTTTATCCATTAGGTCAAAGTTGTAATGCTTACTTGTTGTAAAATCTAAGCACAGGATCCGCTTCAATATCACTCATGTCCATTTGTTTACCTCGGAGAAGTACTTCAGAATTTTTTTTCATCATAAGCCATCCTATGTGAGAAAAGAATAGACCTCTGTTTGCGTTGTGAGGGTCAGCCTCCGTATCGCTGTATTTGTGATGGACTCGATGATCACGCACCCATTGATACAGTGAGTTCTGGAACGAAAATTGCATATAATGGACACTTTTAAGCTATTGCATAGCTTTTATCGCGGGCTTCTAAGCGCGGCGATAATCAAGAAATTCCGTAACGAAAATAAACCTAACACCCCCCCACTCCGACCGGCACAGCGGTGCGGCTTCCTTATATAAGTATACAATGTACTTTGTGGGTGCACCCCTCTGTCTCGTCCCGACGGCTCCATTGCCTTCGAGGACGAAGAAAAGGCTGAGTGCTTCGCTGACAGCGTCGCCGCTCAATGCTCTCCTAGCTCACAACCCACTGACCCCTTACACATCCAACTAGTGGAGGACGAGGTCCGACGCAGGAACTCGCCCCCTACCGCCTCTGACCCTATCACTGTGTCCAAAGATGAGATTTCATCTATCATCAAAGGACTTAAGCCTAAAAAAGCACCGGGTGCGGATGTTATCTCCAACCAAGCCCTCAAACACTTCCCGGAGCAGTTAATCACCTTACTGGCCATTATCTTTAACGCCTGCTTCGAATTCAGTTACTTTCCCACCTCTTGGAAAGAGGCAACTGTCATTGGCATTCCCAAGCCAGGCAAAGCTCACCACCTCCCCTCCAATCACCGTCCCATCAGCCTCCTCAAGGTCATGGGCAAACTTTTCGAACGAGTTATTCTCGTGCGCTTGAGGCGCCATTTGTTTCCCACAGACGGCGACCCTCTTATCATCCCACAACAATTCGGGTTTCGAGCGAAACACTCGTGCCCCCAGCAAGTTCACCGCATAGTGGAATACATCCTCAGCGGTTTTTATCCTCGCCGTCAAAAAACCATCGCGGTCTTCTTTGACATTGCCAAGGCATTCGACAGAGTCTGGCACGAGGGCCTTATCTACAAACTGTACGACTTAGGCCTCCCGGACCGTCTCGTTCGCCTTGTAGCCTCCTATCTGAAGGATCGTACCTTTCGCTTTAGACACGAAGGCACGCTATCCTCTACTCGTCAAATAAAAGCCGGTGTCCCTCAAGGCTCTGTGCTTGCTCCCCTCCTATACATACTATTCACCAACGACATCCCTATCCCGTCGAATGGTGTTAAACTAGCCCTCTTTGCAGATGACACAGCCTTTTACTCTAAAGGCAACTCACTACTACAGATTCGGAACAAGATCCAAAAGTCAATAAGCGACTTAGAGGCTTGGTTCCAAAAATGGCGCATCGACGTAAACCCGGAGAAAAGCTCCGCCGTTTGCTTCGAATATAAACGACGTCGTCTCACCACCACTCCGCCAATCAGGATGTTAGGAACCCCTGTCCCATGGCAAACTAAAGCCAAATACCTAGGCGTCACCCTTGATGCAAGGCTCACTTTCGAGCCCCATATCAAGAAGGTAACTCGCACCGCACGTTTTTACATGGGTAGGCTCAACAGCATGTTGGGCAGACACAGTAAAATGTCCCTCCGCAACAAGCGAACCCTATATAAGGTCTGCATACGACCTGTCATGACCTACGCGGCCCCCATTTTCGCACATGCTAAGCCCAAAGCTATAAATGAACTTCAAATAGTTCAAAATCTATTTTGTCGTAGGGCCACTAACTCGCCCTATTATGTCCGTAATGCCGACCTACATCGAGACTTAGAGCTCCCAACAATCCAGCAGTTCCTTAAATCACTCTCTGAGAGATTTTTCAAAGCCTCAGAGTGCCACCCAAATCATCTCATTCGTGAGACAGCTGCCTATGCAGCCCCTATCCACACTCGCTATAGTGTGCGCAGACCGAGAAACTCTCTCTCGGACCCCCCCAACAAGCTTTCGGCTGACCTGAACTGCCTCCTGGCGGCTCAGGCCGAGCCTACATAACACATCCCTTAATCTGCCTTAGTTAGGCACTCTTCTAAGCGGCTTTTCGCCGCTTGCGCCCTCCTTCTGCTAAGGAGGGTCACGTTCGTATACGTCTTAGAGATCTTTAGTCAGATCGTTAATCCAATTCCTAAAAGGTTGAGTTTAGTGGGTAAAAGTCACCACATAACTACGCAGCCGGCTGCGTGGTATGCTATGAGCATTCTCAACCTCCCTCCCCCGCTTTCCGGAGGGTTGCCCATATTTGCTTCGGGCGCAAAAAAAATTGTGGGTGCGGCTTTCAAAGCCGTACATCGTCTAACGTCGTTTCAGTTCGGCAGACTTCGGCACGGTGTTTGTGTGCGTGCGACTTGACGTATTTAACTTCTCATTTATTCAATAAAAGAAAAAAATTGTTTTCTTATCGGTCACCACGCTCAAAAAGTTTATTAAACTTGAATTGAAATTTCTTATTTTTTAATTGAATTGAATGAAGAAAAAAAAACAAAGAAAAAAACTGCATAAATAAAAGTTGATAAAAATGCTATGCAATAGCTTTACCGCGGCAGTCCCCGAGTGCCACACGTATTTTTTTTAAATCCATGAGGTCATAAAAACATGAATAAGGTTAAAGAAATAAAACACTGACGATGTTACTACAATACGTCTTACAGGTAGGTATGTTATAAATATTTGTTTGTAATCGTTCTCATTACGGGAGCGATAACTCGGTCTAGCTAAGTAAAATTTTGGAGAAAATCAGTTTTCTCCGTGTTTTTACGCACAAAACAATACACTTGATTTGCCTGCGCAATATGATACAGCCATAGCGTACTTCAAATCAAGCAAAGTAGTTAAATATTTTTATTTTTTTTCCTTCAAATAAATTGTTACAGAAAAATGAAATGTTTTGTTTGACCAGTTAAGTACTTATCTTTAGAGCGCTATGCGTACCCACTTTTTGATCATAAGATCAGTTTTGGTCGAAAAATGTTCGATTACAGTATTATTTATTATGAAAATAAAGAAAAGCTATAAATAATGTGTGTATTTATTAGGTACTAAGAATATAACGATAATACTTTCTTTAATAAAATAAAAAAGCTACCCCTACTTTAGCATTTTCTGCCGTAAAGTAGAGGCAGTACACATACATAAATCGCACACGGACAAACATGCAGACCCGGTGCAATTATTTGTAGGAAATTCGATCCTGCAGCCAATGCTAAGACGCTACGTCACGGAGTTTAGTCAAAATTAATTATATTTAGATCCCTCGTTGCATTTTTATCTTTATAATCCCGTAAAAGGCAACTGCTAGACTCCCTCTCTCTCCTATCGTAGGGAGAATTTGTCATGAACGTCGAGATCGTGAGAGGGTCGACAATTGTAGTAACAGACGTCTCGCAATTTTGATGATGTTCTCATCCCGTTCTCGTCGGAGCACATTACCATCTTTTCCTATAATGATGTCTTATGTTTGAATCAGACGGGTAGGGTCTTCTGATTTCGGTTTTGATAACGGAATATGTTACATTCAGGAAAGACATAAGATACATAAACGGAGATAAGTATAAAACAGTTAAAATGCAGAGATGTCAGTTACTGCTGCATATCGCATTTTTTAAAGTTATTTTAAGCAAGTGACTGTTTAAATGATGACTATTTAAAGTTGTTTTACCAAAGTTACCTAACGTAACAAAAGGTACGTAAATATTAAATTAAGTTTAAGGAAGAACAGTTATCTTACCGGTTTAACAGATTCTTTCCTTTCATATTTTTGCGGGTTAGAAAATGCCTAAGAAGAAGTATACACATACTAAACATCACAATCCAACACAATTTAGGGTACGAACTGTAACGTTTCTGTCTGTACAAAATGATAAGCTGATTAAGAACATATCAATTTTGTTACCTGACCAGCACTGGCGAAACAAGCGAGGAGAAAGAGTTTCATGGGTAACGTTGCTTTTTTTTTTTTTTTTTTTTTTTTTTTATAGAATAGGGTGACAAACGAGCACACAGTCCACCTGATGGTAAGTGGTTGCTGCGGCCCATAGACATCTACATCTATCCTCCATTAAAAATCAAAATGCAGATGCGTTGTCACCCGTGAAGACTGAGATGGAATGCCTCGTTTCCAGTAAAAAGGGTCTCCGGTTCTCTACACTCACCATACGAAATACAGCAGCATTAAGCTACTATTTCACGCTGGTATTCTGTGAGAATTTTCTTTGTAAGCTTTATGGGTCCACAATCGATGAGCGCCACCCGTGATTCCAAAACCGCTCAAAATATACATTACAGAAGCTGCAAAAATGTTGGATTTTTTAAATTTATTTTAATAGACAATAACCACAAATATATGTTAAATATAGTATTAATATCACATGAGATGTACCGAAAAATACTGTCTGCCATTTTACAGGAAAACTGTAATGGAAACACCAATAAATTGCAAGTATGTGATATAAAACTATTGGAACAGCAGTCGCCCACTTTATTTTATTTTTAAAGCCGAATTGTTTTTCAAATGCACACAAAATTTCACTTAAAGATACTGACGGCGTTTTGTTCACTTTTTCGGACATATTTTTTACACGGTCGGATCGCAATTACACTAATTGTGGTCGTACTGGGAATTTAAATAAACAATGACACATTCTCATACAATGTTGTAAGGGGATATCGACACGAAATTACGAAATGCTTAATAGATTCTCATGACCCATATGTTGCATGAAAAGGTGTCTTAGTAAACTTTCAAGACAATCACCTTGTGGAAATTTAAATCAAACACATTTTGTCTACAATATACACATTGTTTCTGCTAAAAGCTATTTGATGGTTTTTAAAGTAGGTTGTAGAAATGTGCTCGGTCTTCTTAAAATGTAAAAATTTATTTAATAAATAACATAACATAACATAAACACTCACGCATGTCACCCAGAGGGGTAGGCAGATACTACAGACTTCCATTTAGCACGATCCTGACATAACTCTCTCGCCTCCTCCACATCCATATACCTATGCATACATGCTTGACGGTTAAGGGTACTCTTAATTTGGCCCATTTTTAATATATCGCCAATTTGGTCTACAAACTTTCGCCTAGGACGTCCCTTTCCGACTCTTCCATTCACTTCTGAAACATAAATTTGCTTTGTCAGTCTTTCCTCATTTATTCTTTCTACATGACCAAACCACCGAAGCATTCCTTTCTTAATCCTGGTCACCGCATCATCTTGCAATCCACACTCGTCTTTTATCACACAATTTCTCACCCTGTCACTCAAATTCAGCCCTAACATATTCCTTAGCGTATAATAAATAAAAATGAATAATGACATCTGACATCTTAGGCATTAAAATAAAGACTTTTCATAATAATGTGATTCAAGCTAATTTCGACATTATAGCCTTGACTGAGACGTTTTTTTCTAGCTTTGTGTCTGATGAAGAACTTTTTCCCTCAATATATGTTGTGGTTCGAAGAGATAGGTTAGGTGACATTGTTTGGGGAGGAGTATTGTTGGCCGTGCGTGATAGCTACGAGGTTCAGGTGATTTCGAATATTGACGGTATGTCACCAGATAAAGAACTAGTATTCGTACTTCTAAACTGCAAACATGTAAAGTTTTACGTGGTGTGGTGTGGTGTACCGACCACCGAATTATGGCGATGATCAGTATATTGATGTTCTAACTTACAGAGAAAATGCTTTATGTGCTTATTCAAATGTGAACGTATTGGTGATTTTAATCTTAATTCTTGCAGCACTAATGTAGATAATAGTAATAAGTAACATCGCCCGCTGACGTAACGGTTATGTGACAAAACCGCTACGGCAGCGCAGTCAGTCAGCACCTTGCCGAAGCAGGTGTTAGTGCCGTGCCTTGGCAAAAGTTGAAGGTGCAAAGACCCGCTGGTGCACATAACCTCACCATGAAACGGTGCCGGGTGTGAGTGTATCCCGTTAAACGGCGCCCACTAAAACGGATGATGGAAATTAGAAGAATACGCAAAGGGCCGCTGCTTGGTGGTCACCAGGGTGCGTCTGTAGCTGGTGATGGACGCGACATCATGCAAAACGCCAGCCGGCGCGTGCTGCACCGCCACCCAGCAGCCCCTCGCATCTATCATCCCCACTAGCTGGCTTGGTGTCGGCAGGATCTTCGCAGGCCCAGCAATCGGCACCCGTCACTGGTGAAGTACGTCGTATGCGTTGGACAATCCTGATAAATAGCAATGCATTGCGGGCGTATTTTGGGGCGAATGGGGGCGAAATTGGAGGTTTTGCGTATCGTACAAGCATGCATCGACTTTTTGCTGAGCTGGAGTCATCTTTAACCGTCACCGAGCAAAACTTGGCAGACCGAGTTCGGTATATCTTGCGCTCAAATATATTTTATGTCACCGAACTCGAACGGCTACGACGTGAGGCTCTTCCCTCATAGGATGAAAATACTACGGCTGAGGATGCGGCGCCACAACTTGCAGAGCAACCGAAAAACGTGGATATTGCCGTAAATAACCCAGTTGTGGTTGATTCAAATGATGATGGAACAGTCGCCCAGGAACTGGAACAAGAAAAAATGAGGAGTACGTTGGAAGAGACGATTGTGGAAACGCGCAGTACGGCTCTCAAAAATCGATTTCCCCGCATAGCCCTAAGCAAGCGGAATCGGGCTGTCGTGAGGGCTCTGAACGCAATGCTGGTGACTTATTTGGAAGCCAGCCGGGACCTTTGCTTGACGGACTCAATTCTTTTTAGCGCCCCGCTGGCAGTCTGCCGTATTATAGGCGCCAAGGTTTCCAAGGCTGGATGCGTTACTTGATTAAGTATCGCTATCTTAGCCTGGAGAATAAGAATTGAGGAACGTATCGCAAAGGCTAGGGCTCTTATCGACAGACTGACATGCTTCAGATCAGGCAATAATAGGCCAAGGATTGTGCGCACCGTCAGGATGGCATTTGATAAGACAAATGTCAGATTGTCCCAGCCGGATATAACGCTAAAACTGACGGGGCGCATAGATGATCTGAAGCAGAGAACCGCTGCTTCTGGAAAGCGGATTCGGCGATATACCGAGAGGTCGACACGGTTCAACTAGAATCGACTCTTTCAGAGTGATCAGAGGTTCTATGAATCATTAGAGCGACCAAAGGTAAGTGGAACGGGCTCAGCACCGAATCAGGCCGACATTGTCGCATTTTGGCGCAGCCTGTGGTCAGAGACCGTAAACCAGAGCGAGGGCCCTTGGTCGCAAGTTGTGGTGGGTCAGCGTGCAGGTATTATGCCCATGGACTCTATCATCATAACGTCGGATGAGGCGGTCCGTAGGGCCTCGATCTGGAAAAGTCCGGGGCTTGACGGGCTGTATCACTAATGGTTTAAGGGGTTCGTGGTGTGTCACGCTGTACTCGTCCGACAGTTTCAAGAGGCTCTCAATTAGAAGTCGCTCGCGAGCCTCTTCACTACTGGGACCACTCGTTTGGTTCCTAAAGACCATGGTACCACAGACCTGAGCAAATACTGCCACATCACGGGTCTAACGACCATATACAAGACACTCACATCCATTTTGAGCGCGAGAATCACTCGTCATCTGCAGTCAAATCAGGCGATGTCGCGCGCTCAAAATGGATTTCGGGGCGGTGGTCGAGGAACCAAGGAATCATCCCTTATTGACGCGATCATTGGGAAAGTGGTAAAACGCAAACGTCGGGAACTACTCCGCCGCCTAGATTGACTACAGAAAGGATTTCGACTCGGTGCCCCATACGTGACTAAAGAGGGTCCTCGAGCTGTACAAGATTGACTGTACAGTTAGAGACTTCCTCAGGCAGTGCATAGGGCAGTGAAGTACGATTCTTTGTCATCTGGGCGAGCGGATGACGGCTGCGGAAAACCGCATAAGGATAAGAAGGTATATCTTTCAGCCGGGCAAGCATGGGCAGGAGACAATATATCCACGGGGAGAGGATAACATTTTTATTACTTGCTCAGTTTTATCCACCCTGCGAGCATGGGCAAAAATTATAACCCCGATTGTGTTCACTGACAAGAGATAAAATTACCTTATCCTTATAGCACATATCCGTTTGAGAGAACGAGTAGACATATATCCCCTCGTCCGTAGCATGGGGTCAAAGGAAAGAGAAAAAGTATCCTCTTTTGACATTTGAAAGGGACAATTTCACTTCGAAACGTGGGTTTAAATTTATCTTCAAACCATTTTAATACCAAAAAGATGTCTCGAGCCTACTGCAACTACATTTTCGTATCAGAATTTGAAAAACTTGAAAGAAAATTACATCGGCGATTGATACGTGATCAGAGTACTTAATCCATTGGAATTCCCCGACAATGAATTTATACGAAGGTTTCGGATGCTCAAAGGTTGTGTTTTGTATTTGTGTAAAGAAGTTTATGAGGCTTTAAAGCCTATTAATTCTGTGGATGGACTACCAGTGCATATTAAGGTAATTTGTCTCATCTGTTACAACCACCCTGTGCAAAACATCGCAAATTTGTAATCAATACATATGGCTAACTTATCTAAACATTTTTTTTCTAGGTAGGTACTTTACATTTTTCAGTCTCTTAGCAGATGTCAGAGAGTCGAGACCATGAAATGGATATTGTTCAAACAAGAAATAATCAGCAAATACTTGACCCAAGTTATTGGGGCCATCATTAGAATGTGGGGAGCAGTATACTTTAATTAGCCTCTTGTGTAGGTAAATACAAGTTTCAATGCATCTAATTCTTATGTCTTTTAAAAATAAAAATAAATGATTTAGAGTATTAAATTTAGAGTAGACATCAATTTTGATGTATTTTGTAATTTTTTTATAATTGCAATAATTGCAGGGATAAGTTTACCTCCTATTTTATCTCCTGTAAAATTCTGGCATAGGGATAAGATAATTTTATCTCTTGTTAGTGGAGAATCGGGGTAAAAAATTTTTGTCTCCCGCCCGTGCTAGCCCGGCAGGGCGACAGTCTTTGTCCAATCTGGTTCCACCTCTCTTTAAACCTTATCAGTACTTTACTGGAGGGCTCCGGGAGGGGATTTCAGCTTCGGAAGGGAGGTACAAAAGCGACCCACCTTTTCTTTATAAATGACCTCAAGTTATTCACCTCCAGTCGCTCCAATTTTGTGGAATTACTAAACATCACTTGTGAATTTAACAATTCTATTGAAAAGGAGCTGGGGACGGATAATAGTGCGGTTCTCCGTGTTGAAAAGGGAAGGGTTGCTAACTCTGAGGGCATAGACTTATCTATACCCGTCAACATAAGGAACCTTTCTAAGGCAGAAACTTACCAATACCTGGGTATGTCACAGAACGTAGATATCGATGAGGCAGGTATGAAACAGTCAGTTTGCGACGTGTTTTATGCATGCTTGACCAAAGTGCTTAACAGCCTTTTGTCCGGTGTGAATAAGACACAAGCATATAACGGTTGAGTCATGCCTGTACTCGTGTATACCTTTGACATACTTAGTTTGCTGAATTCAAAAGGGGTAAAACTAACCTTAATGATGACAAAAGAACCGGGGCCCCGCAAACAGCAGTAACGGCAGAAAATGTATAGACTATTGAATTGTTGGTACGAGAATACCCACGAATCACTTATACGGACATCGAAAAGATTGTAGGCATTAGTTCGAGGAGCATTAATGCCACCCTACATCAACATCTTGGTGTGAGGAAGCTTTGTTGCCGATGGATCCCTCGTTTACTCTCCGAAGCGAAAAACAGACTCGTGTGGATTGGTGACATGAAATGCGTCTACGTTTTGAAAACGAAGCATCTAGGCGTGTGTAAGAAATCGTCACTGGTGATGAGACATAGATCTATCAATATGATCCAGAAAATAAAATGTAATCATCATACTCAGAAGAACAGTTACTGAAATAATTGTTTTATTCAATTTCAATTTATCATAAAAGGTATTAAATACACTAAGAATAGCAAGTTTATCTCGTCCATTTATTAGAGGTTTTTCCAAATAAATTGTCTTTTCTAAGCTCAATTTAAGAAAATTTGTTGACGATCCCTAGGGCAGATACTGTTCAATTTTGAGCTTGTTGTTTTATTTTATAACCTCACGAACTGTGCCGAAGGTAAAGTATATGCCGGATCCAATTACGTAGTTTCGGATGGAGTTTTGTTTAATGATCCCGTAAACCTAATGGAAATTACTTTTTTATTAATTTATCAAAGCTTAATTTTAGTTTGAAAATATAAAACAGTTGCGTGTAATATTTTTTTAATTAATTAGGCTTGACAAAATTGAAAGTGCTCTGATATAATTTATTGACTGCCTCGTTGGTCTAGTGGTTGTAGTAGTGCGACTGCTGATCATGAGGTCCAGGGTTCAAATCCCGGGTCGGGCCAAAAAATTAATTATTGAGTTTTTCCGTCAAGAATTCTCAGTAGTTGCCCGGAGTCAGGAAGTTGGCGGTGTCTCACCCCCGTGCCTCGGATAGCACATAAGCCGTTGGTCCTGCGCCTGATATCTCTCCGGTCGTGTCGGTTTACCGTCCCATCGGGTTATGAGAGTGAGCGAAGAGAGAGCGCACCTGTGCTTGCGCATCCACTTGGACACTATAATCGTGTCCTGCGCCGATGGCTAGCCTCCATTGAGGCAGGCCTCCGTGGCCGAAATTCGGTCTGGAGGACCTTATATTATAATTTATAATAAAGTAAAGATTTTTCCTGCTGTTTTCGGTTAACACGGTGTCGTTAGTAGTGTACAAATATCCTGTAGTTATTTAAAATCTTGGCAGAATCGTTCTTCTTGCCGTTATGCTGTAGAAGCTAGCTGAATTACATTATGAGACACTACTACTTTGATCTGTGTCTTTGTAATACGATTTAATTTTCATGCCATTATTTTTGATCATCTTTATGTAGTTGAGGAAGTGAAGCATGTAATAAGTAATCATGTTAAACGTTTAACTCTTGTATATATAGAGGTCAGTGGTTTAACTATACAAATTGCTTGAAAGTTTAACAAATTTCAAATATTTATTATCACATAATAAGTTATGTATTGTTTAATATTTTAATTTCGTAGAAACATTTATGGCAAGTTACTGTGCACTAATTGTTTAAAGAGTCGGGGCAAAGTTGAGGGATGAACACTCTTTTTAAAATTATACAGTACGAGATCAAACGTTGGCACTGACAAATTTGTTAATTGCAATTTTTTTATTGATCATCACGTGTTTTTATTTACATTAAAAATAATTAAGGACATGTAAAGTACTGTGCAATTGTCGTGTAAAAATATTCATTACATCATATCGTCCCTTGGTTTTAGCATCTTTCTGATAACAACTAAACAATAAAAAAAATTGTGGGACCTGACCAACTTGTTAGACAAACGTGGAAAATTTATTCCTCCCAATGCTTTGGAGAGCCTTATGTTCAGTAGTAGACTTTAAAGGTAAAAAGTTAAAGTTACCACCTATATACGTCCCACTGCTGGGCACAGGCCTACGCTGATTACTGAGAGGGTTTTAGGGCAAGGAATTGTCCGCCGCGCTGCCCCAATGCGTGTTGGCGAACTTCACATGTCTATGAAATATTTTTTTTCTTAGTTCTCAGACATGCAGGTTTCCTCACGATGTATTCGTTTACCGCGCTAACCATCTGAGCTACCACGGCTCACTTTGATTGGCTGTTATTAATGAATTTTATTTTTACTTATTCCACCCGTTGGCAAGTGGTGATGTAAGTGACCCCATTCACTCCTATTCCATAAAAACCTATTCACTCTTGCCTTGATGACGCTCAGATTGTATTCGGACGGTAAGACAGACGCCGGCAAATTATTCCACTCCTTTGCTGTACGTATTACAAAAATATAGCAAATCGTTTGGTTCTCACGTGTAGAACATCGACCACAAAGGGGTGAAGACCAGCCGACCGGCTGGTTGTCCGATGGTGGAAAAGAGAAGGAAGGATTAAAGCATGTAATTCCTAAATAACGAAAGGCTGGCTACTCTGCGTCTGAGCTCGTGACTGACAAGATTGCTTTCAACTAAATAAAGGTTAATGAGCCTTTCAAATTTCACTACTCCATATCATTCCGTGGGTGTCGTCACTGTCGTGTAGAGAGAAACTCAAACAGGAGTTAGACAGTAGCATCTTAATAATAAAAACTCAATGCTAGTAATTAAAAACTACGATTCTAATGGACGACACACACGGTTAGTTCAACTGTTTGTTTCGACTGATCAGTTCAAACTAGGACTGTTGATATTTTTTTAAATATCGGATTTTCGATATATCGATAAATAAACTTATATATGTCGCAGGTATATTGTCAAAGCCGTGATCGACTTCATTTCTTACAATTTAACGGGCCCTGTCGACGGAGCACCGCTTCGTGGGAGCCTATTCCTCCCTAATCGCTCGCTCACTCGACCCCGCCATCTCCTTCTAACCTAACAAGTCCGAGAACGGATGCCCTAAGTCCCGAGCTCGCTTCGCTAAAAAATTGATAAATAACCAAAAGTGTGATTTTTTTTTCAAAAAAAGTTTATTTTTTTTAATTTTTTGTGTAGATAAACAAAAAAATATAAATGTCGTTTAATGCTTTGAAAAAAAAGTTATAAACGATTATATTTTAAGAAGTGCGCCCGTTAAATTGTAAGAAATGAAGTCGATAGATAATATACCGTTCAATTATAATATCACTAGTGAAATACATATATATATATATATATATATATATATATATATATATATATATATATATATAATGTTATATAATATATATATATATATATATATATATATATATATATATATATATATTATATATATATATATATATATATATATATATATATATATATATATATATATATAGTAAATATATATATAACACACCCAGCCATATATATATAACACTCCGATATTGATATATTTATTTATCGATATATCGAAAATCCGATATTTTAAAAAATATCAACAGCTGTAATTTGAACTGATCAGTTGGAATGATCAGTTGAACCGACCGTGTGTGTCGCCACCACCTATGACAATTATCTCATTTTGAGGCAATCTATGGAGGAGACGTTAGTATAGCAGTGAACTTTTGAATGAATAAAAAATGTAAAGAGTTTTCCTTGCCTTAAAACCATCTTAAAAATAAGAAGACGTCTGTGCATAGCAAAAATCCCATTGACTCGGCTACCGATCTAATCAGATCATACAATACCTACCTTACGTCCGCTCTGGTACGGGTCGAATTAGATCAGGTCGGATCAGAAGTACTGCCTTATGAAAAAACTATTTTTTCCTTTAAAACAAAACCAAAGACAATATGCAATAGATAATAGTATCAAAGACAAAGATATGCTCTTTTATTTTAAACCAAAACCTGGCAATGTTTCTTAGAAAAAAAAAAAAGAAATCACTCTGAACTTTCGGCGTTCCACATGTCGTTTTGATGAAGGTGCTCCGTCTTTTTTTATAGAATTTTATATTTGTGTCTGGACTAAAAACGAAAGTATTATACTTTTTTTATATTCCTTGTAATATATTGAACACGTAGATATATAATTTGTGGTATAAAAAGTGTAAAGTAATTTGCCAAAAGTACTTCAAAATCTGGAAGACCCATTTTGGCGGTTGGGTCATAAATGTGTTATTTTTCAAATTCTCATTTATTTTTAGTGTAAAATGTAAGTAAAAATAGTTTTCTTACATATTTCAAATAACTTGACGTTGTATTTATTTCAAATTCACACATAATTATTTTTGAAATATTGTTCTAAATGTCACACAGATAAAATATTATTATTGTTTTTTTTTAATTTTTTAATTTTTAATATTTTGGTATGAGTAACGAATGGAAACATATAAAACATAAAAATATACATATTTCCAAACATTTTCATATAAATTTCTCCAAAAACAAAAGTGTAGAATTCAAATTAGTAGTAATTTTGTCACTAAAATTGAAGTATATGCTACTACTATGCTATACAGGGTAATTTATGTATTTTATTACAATTTCTAGCAACCAAAAATAATTTTATTCGATAGTTTATACATTCAACAAGAAATCCTGTAAGTTTTATCCATAAATATTGTCTCAAAGTGAAAATATAGCAAAATTTGCAATATAGCAAAAAATTTTCTAACTTACAAATTTTCCCGCCATTAAGGTCCCGAGCGAACGGGAGTATAACATGTCGCGCGCTGTCAGAGCCTGGGAGATAATATGTGTAACTTATTACTTTTACACTAGTCTACAAGCTACATGTTCACTTAGATAAGTTAAAATGAGATCTATGATACGGTTAAATATTAAAATATAACGTACACTGTATGTAGATCTCATACATAGATTTCCATATTAATCTATGGAGGAGATTTATGTTCAAGTAAGTCTTCAAGTTCTTGTGGACTTAGCAGTAACTTGCCCACTCGCATATATAACAAGATAAGCCAGTCGTGTTGATTTCAGCAAATAAGTTCGGGAGATCATAAACATACAGAAATATACAGCCCCCTTAGGGAATTATTGAAACAAATAGATTAAAGTAATAAATATAATTGGTGAATAAAATATTAAACTTTTGCTTGATTAACCTCTTGGTTCACTTCGTTACTTCGGTTGTTTAGTTTTCAGATTGTATTGGCATAGGAAAGTGCACAGGAGTTCCATCACCCAGTCTTTTTGCTATTCCATTAATCATTTCAGGCGTCGCTTCACGAAGATCATACGCCCATCCAATTCTTTTAAAAATGTTTATAAGTGTGGTGCATAAATTGAATGTATCAAAATGTTCGGCAGCTTTATAGTCAAAAGGGAAAGCATGATGGTAATTATGCCACCCCTCTCCAAACGTGCATGTCGCAACAAAACGATTTTCTCTCGGGACTATATTCCTAAAAAAGAAGTATAAACTGCGTTAGATTACTGCAGTATTTACACTGATATAACGAATAATGGAGTGTTTAGGTAATAATTAACAAATATTAATACCGAGTACAATATAAACTTGTACAATAATAAACAATAAACTTTATTTTCGAGGATAAATATAAGGTACATAGTGAGAAATCGACTAGACCTAACTGACTATAATTAAATTGAATCCTTTTTCCAGCTTATATTTTTAAATTTAAAGTATTAACTAGTTTGTAGGACTTTTTCTTCCGCCAGTATCTGCAATGCTGGGTTCTGGTTTGGAGTGTAGATAGGCAGTATAGTTATAGGCTCAGATATTCCATCTTAGTTCTCAGATGTGACCATGAATTTTTTCTTTGTTTGAAGTTGACTGAAGGTGTCCATGGAGCGCAGTAGCTACTTACTGTCAGGTGGAATGTAAGCTTGTTTGTCACTTTAGTTTTCTATCATCAGCACAGCCTACAAAAGTCTACTGCTGAACATAGGCCTCACCCATATTGCCCCGTATTACCCTCATAGGGGGGATTGCATAGAATACTATAATACATACATAATAGAACGGGGGAGTGGGCGGAGCCCGTGTAGCCACTAACATGTCACTAATACGTATATTTACACGTATAAATGTCAACACAATCAATGGTTTCCAATTTTCGTGTCAAGCGTCGCGCAAGCAAATTATTTAAAAAAGGGCAAATTGTGCTATAATAAAATCATGTGGAAAGCCAGCGGGAAATCGAATTTATATCAAGGAGACATATTCTACAACCAGGCCAAACTATTTATATTTTGTGAATATTAGAAATAAAAATAAAGAAACATTTATGTGTCAAAAACATTAATCAAAAGTCTAAAATGTGTTTGTAGTAGTCATAACGTGATTGCTTGTATGTGTGCTCCCGGCGACGCCAATCCTCCTACGAAGTAAGGTTGACAGCCATTCTATTGTGTATTATAGTATTCTATGGGAGATTTTGGCATCATTGCCACGCATGGCGAGCGGGTTGTCAACCACAGTTTTTTTATAATTTTGAGTTGTTATCACGAAGATGCGGCTGCCCATCACCTGTTTCAATTTCCCTCCGACGCCTCTTACGACACCCACGGGACGATATGAGGTAGTGGATATTCTTTCACCGCCACTACACGTTTTGTCAGTATACAGTTTTCTGTACAATATATTAACTAATTGTTAGCATTTTGAATTATCATAATACATAGTATAGGTACTATCGGTGACCAAAAAAATAACAGTATCATAATCCATTATTAAAAAGTTTTTTAGTTCGATACAGTATACATACTTGTTATAAGGTTTGTATCCATAGGCATGTGCTAAGCTATTAACTGTAAGTTCACTGTGGAACATGCTCAGGAATCGTATGAAGCACTGCCAAGCTACAGCGCAACGCCAGTTTTCTCCCCACAACCATATGCTCATTGTAGTTGGTATCACGTAGCAAAGCATTATCTTGAAGTAATTGAAATACCTAAGAAAACATTGTCTTGATGTAACTGAAGTATAAGGGAGAATAATTTAGCTTTTTTTTGATTGACGAATATGTTCAGACAACTGATTGATAGGGAACGATATATTTAAGAGAATGTCGGGAAGCAGTTTATTTCCCAGTTGAGTACAGTCAGTTTCGTCTGTTAACCTTGGCGTATACAATATATCTTTATAGTGAGAACAAAATTGTCATAATAATCTCACAAGAGCGTTACAGGCGGCTTAGGCTCGTGAAAAGCGATGACCGATGATGCCGAAGCCTAATGTATTTAAGTACCTTAACTAAAATATGGGGTTGTTGTGCATCCCGAATCGCCACAAAATTGTCTGGTGCCCTCACCAAACAATTTTATGGCAGGATCATGTTATACTCGTATCATGGGTGTACCATGGTCAAAAATAGGTTGACCCTGCAGGCCATCCCTGAAACTTCCCGTTAATTTTGAATGCAAAGCGCTCCAAATTTCACCAAATTATGTTCGAAATCTCAAAGTTATGTTAAAAAACGTTGTTTTTAAAATCTTTCTCACACTCACACACACACACACACACACAGCACGCGCACGCGCACGCGCACGTACACGCACACGCACACGCACACGCACACGCACACGCACACGCACACGCACACGCACACACACACTCACACACTCACTCACTCACTCACTCACACACACACACACACACACACACACACACACATATATATATATATATATATGAATGAACCGATTGTTATTTTCATTCGATTTATTTTTTTATTGGCATTAGATTTCATGTTTTTTAAATGGATCGGTAAAACCGTTTAAAAGTAATTCCAAAAAAACAGTTTTTCAAAATTTTTATTTTTGAGATTTCTCAAAATCTGCTCGTCCGAATCAGTTCATATTATCACCAAATCTATTTCACATTGAGATCTTTAGAACGCCGTAAACCGCATCTCCATCGATCTAGACGTTCAAAAGTTATGAAAGGTTTACATACTTACACACACAACACACACACACACACACACACACACACACACACACACACACACACACACACACACACACACACACTACACACACACATCCGTACACGTGAAATTAGTCAGAATAGCTTCCTAGGATCTCAAAACGTCGAGATATGATGAGAACTCGATTTTTTAAAAATTGGGGTGAAACCAATAACTTCCCTATTTTTGAAAATTTTCAATTTTCTGAGCGGGAAGTTAAAAAAGCTTAATAATTATGGGTGATGCCTTCAAAAAAATAAATATTTGGGACATTCTCTCAAAGGTTTAGCAATCGACTTAAAAATTTATGAAATAATTATACCAGTCTTAATTTACAATTTTAACATGACACATTTTATTGTTTTATTTTGTTTAAAAACCGACCTAAGTTCAGCTTATATAAACTAATTGGACGACGTGGACTTGTGAAAATAAAGGTGAATTAAATGGGGGTTGAAAATGTTAAAAGTAATAAATAAATCCGTAAATTAAAATTTTATAACTTAATTTTTATCCATTAAGTCAAATTTGTAATGCTTACTTATTGTAAAATCTAAGCATAGGATCCGCTTCAATATCACTCATGTCCATTTGTTTACCTCGGAGAAGTACTTCAGAATTTTTTTTCATCATAAGCCATCCTATGTGAGAAAAGAATAGACCTCTGTTTGCGTTGTGAGGGTCAGCCTCCGTATCGCTGTATTTGTGATGGACTCGATGATCACGCACCCATTGGTACAGTGAGTTCTGGAACGAAAATTGCATATAATGGACACTTTTAAGCTATTGCATAGCTTTTATCACGGGCTTTGAACGCGGCAACCGAATCAAGAAATTCCGTAACGAAAATAAACCTAACAACCCTTACTCCGACCGGCACAGCGGTGCGGCTTCATTATATAAGTATACAATGTACTCTGTGGGTGCAGCTTTGAAAGCCGTACATCGTCTAACGTCGTTTCAGTTCGGCAGACTTTGGCACGGTGTTTGCGTGCGTGCGACTTGACGTATTTAACTTCTCATTTATTCAATAAAAGAAAAAAAATTGTTTTCTTATCGGTCACCACGCTCAAAAAGTGTAACTTGAATTAAATTCAAAGAAAAAAAACAAAGAAAAAAATACTGCATAAATAAAATAAATAAATTATATTTATATTTGCATAAGTTGATAAAAAATGCTATGCAATAGCTTTACCGCGGCAGTCCCCGAGTGCCACACGTATTTTTCTAAAGTCATGAGATCATAAACACATGAATAAGGTTATAAGAAATAAAACACTGATGATATTATTACAAAACATCTTACAGGTATACTGGTATAACGTCCAATTCCTGTAATGCCATTAGTAAAGTAAAGTTTTGAGTGAGAAAGTGCTATATGTTATAAATATTTATTTGTAGCAAAGTAAAATTTTGGAGAAAATCAGTTTTCTCCGTGTTTTTACGCACAAAACAATACACTTGATTTGCCTGCGCAATATGATACAGCCATAGCGTACTTCAAATCAAGCAAAGTAGTTAAATATTTTTATTTTTTTCCCTTCAAATAAATTGTTACAGAAAAATGAAATGTTTTGTTTGACCAGTTAAGTACTTATCTTTAGAGCACTATGCGTACCCACTTTTTGATCATAAGATCAGTTTTGGTCGAAAAATGTTCGATTACAGTACTATTTATTATGAAAATAAAGAAAAGCTATAAATAATGTGTGTATTTATTAGGTACTAAGAATATAACGATAATACTTTCTTTAATAAAAGTACCCGGATGACCGAGCTTTGCTCGGTTTTTATTTTGAAATTACATTTAGGTACAAATTACATACTGATGAATAATATTTTTTGATCTTATTGACGTAATAGAAAAAACTGAACTGATTATTTGAATAAAAAATCATGAGTGCAATTAGTTTTATTAACATTTTGTATTTTTAAAAAATACTAAAAAAAGGGCTCAAAATAATAGATTTTCTCACAAAAGAAGGTAACTTTAAAAAAAGGAAAACAATCAGTTCGAAGACGGGACGCGAATCAAGGTATTAAGATTTCGCCTCGATTCGATTTTTTCATTGCCTGAAAACACGGACAAAAAACATTTTCTAAAAATAAATCCTAGCTAGATCGATTTATTGCCCCCGAAACTCCCTGGACACTTAATTTTATGAAAATCGTAGGAGCCGTTTCCGAGATTCCGATTATTTATATATATATATACAAGAATTGCTCGTTTAAAGGTATAGGATATGATAAAAAAGCTACCCCTACTAAAATTATTAATTTAAGTTTAAGGAAGAACTTACCGGCTTAACAAAATCTTTCCTTTCATATTTTTGCGGGTTAGGAAATGCCTAAGAAGTATACACATACCAAAGATCACAATCCAACACAATTTAGGGTACGTACTGTAACGTACAGGCAGAACTGTACAAGATGATAAGCTGATTAAGAACATATCAATTTCTTACCTGACCAGCACTGGCGAAACAAGCGAGGAGAAAGAGTTTCATGGGTAACGTTGCTTTGTAAGCTTTATGGGTCCACAATCGATGAGGGCCACCCGTGATTCCAAAACCGCTCAAAATATACATTACAGAAGCTGCAAAAATGTTGGACTTTTTATATTATTTTAATAAACAATAACTACAAATAAATGTTAAATATAGTATTAAAATCACATGAGATGTACCGAAAAATACTGTCTGCCATTTAACAGGAAAACTGTAATGGAAACACCAATAAATTGCAAGTAAGTGATATAAAACTATTGGAACAGCAGTCGCCCACTTTATTTTATTTTTAAAGCCGAATTGTTTTTCAAAATGCACACAAAACTTCACTTAAAGATACTGACGGCGTTTTGTTCACTTTTTCGGACATATTTTTTACACGATCGGATCGCAATTACACTAATTGTGGTCGTACTGGGAATTTAAATAAACAATGAGACATATTCATACAATTAGAGCAAGAGCCCGCTTCAGCCAGGGTCACAATATTTCATAAAACCAGAAAGTTTGTCTGCGCACGTCACCAACACAGGTAAGAACGAGTTTGGGTAGTGGTTACTTTGACAGGTAACAGGTAACAAAGGTGTAAAAAAAGCACCTCAAATACATTAAAAGATAAAGCTCGGTTTTTTGATATTTTCTTTAGAATAATATTTAAAATGATGTCATCCATTGTCGGACACTTAGTATGGTTTTAACCCCCTGCCGGACACCCCCAAACTCAAAAATATTGTACTTACGCTTACAATATAGTATAAAAGCTGAATTTTAGATATGTTACTTGGGGAACTATCCATATTGCCAGAGGTCTTGAAAGTCTGCGGTAAGTGCGAGCGTGAGGCAATATATATTTAGGCGGGTTTGAGTGAGATGGTGAGTTTGCTCTATTGCGATCTTTTACTGCGCATCATCTGTCGCTTACATTGTATCAGTGAGACCACTTTTAGTAGATTTCTACTTTTTTTAGTAGATTTGAAGCAAATAAAACGATAATCTAGTAGGACAAAATATCTTAGTAGAATTTAGTAGAAATGAGAAACACATCTGTAGGTTTTGGTATTAATTCGCTATCAAAGAATATTAGGCTTAAAACCAAGCATCCATGTCCAAGAAGTTTTAATTTTACAGTTGGCAACACACGTAATTGATTTAGAATTCCTTTATATATGAATGTTACTGTGGACATAGCAAATTGAATTTAAATATCCATTAGATAAAGACTATTTTTATTATATTATCTCTAGTACATAGTCAGTAATCTATGCCCCTGCCTGACACCCCCAAACTCAAAAAAATTGTACTTACGCTTACAATATAGTATAAAAGCTGAATTTTAGATATGTTACTTGGGGGACTATCAAAAGAAGTTACCCCAGTAGCCGGACAGTTTTCATGGTTTTTACATATTGCCAGAGGCCTTGAAAGTCAAAATATTTTGACATTTTTTGAAAATTTCCTCTGAAGACAATATTATTTTGCCAGTACTTTCTTTACAAACAAAACAAATTAATTTATTTTCCATGATAACACTTCACTAAAACTCGATCAAATTTATTTCACAAACTACACAAATAAACGATAAAACATATAGTGAACGTATAATACACAGAACTATTACTCCTATCGGAGAAGAACGACAACTTCATACAACATTTAAGAAATGAGATATATAACCAATAGCTCCATCTATCGTCAGCCTCTGCACTTCTCGTGTGGCGGGAAAATTTGAATGTGGTCTTTTTTATTTGAGGTATTTTTGAGTTGCCTATCCCAGCGCTAAATAAAAGAACAAAAATTACAAAATTTCTATTTATTTATTCAAAATAAAAATACAAATTAAAATAAAAAACATACATAACTTAAGAAACAAAATTTCTCCAGCAGCTTAGTTCTTTCTATAAAGACATTTGATGGGTTTAAACATGAAAAGAAAATCAATATTGATTACAACATTTCAATTACTTAAGTAAACAATGATAAACAATTTAAATAAGATTTACAATCATGGATGAATTGATAATATGCACAATCACAAATCACAGAATGTCTACAATAACTAAAATATCAATATTTTAATCAAAAACAAGTTAATTAATAAATAAGCTCCTACACACAAGTGCAAAGTACAACATTCACAAATAATAATTTTGTTTTGATAGTATTTGGTTGTCTATCTATTTCCCTGAATTGACACTAAAAATTTTGACTCTAAATATAGAGTATATATAATAATATGTATATATAGAGTATATATAATAATATACATATAATAATATGCAATATATTAAGTATTGAATGCAGCTTATAAATAGAATAATTTTAATACAAAATTACAAAACATATTAAATATTAGATTACAAAAATATTCCTTAATTCATTTTAAAAATTTTCATATAGTGTACTTTCTTTTTCAGGTTCAACATTATGTGTTACGCTTTGATGTTTGTGGTTGTTCTTCAGTGGATATAATGTTGTCCTTTTTGAAGATCCTGCTTGTGGTTTTGCAGCAATAATTTGCAAGGGACCAGCTAGTGATTCCACAAAATAAAATCGGAATACACTTTGTAGGTTTGGAAATAAATAAAAACTTAAATAAATTATAGTATCATAAAATTATTATATAAAATTAAATTAACATTATATTCATTGACATTACTTTCATAGTAAACCAGTTCCTACTCATGGCACAACATTACCCTTCTACCTACCAATACAAAATAAATAAATGGATCTTGTTCATCCAACTAGCTCTATAATACACCCACTATTACAATTAATATAACAAAATAAGATAGTAAATACAATAACTATGTGAAAAGAAATCTTGTGTTTATCTATTGTTTGAGAACCATTTGATGCGTGTATTTCTACTGTGTTGTACAAGTTGTGCCTTTAAATTTGATAGGTTTAGGACCAAATGTAATTATTCATATATTGTGATGCCGGAACTTTCTTAAGGTTTGTTGTTGTTTTAAAATAAAATTTGATTGTTAAAAATAATATGCAATGTGTTGCACTTTTAATAATGTAAGGAAAGGCTTGTGCTAATTTTATAGACTTCAATCCTTTGGATGCTTTGTCCGATCCAATTATTATAAATTAGTTGAAAGAATTAACAGGATTCAAACTACTGTATGTGGTCTGTCCATCCATGTTAGATCCAGATGATGGTCATCTGAATAATCATCATCATCTTCAGTACAGTCTATCAAAGTCCACTCCTGAATATAGTAATCCCCATATAAAATATCTGAGTAATCCTTAAAGAAAACTATATATATACCATATTACCATATACATTATACACTTTACTTACATCACATGGGACTGCAATTCTTAAGAGCTTTTTCTTGGTTGCATCATTAAATTAACCATCATGAAAATGTTTTTCACACAGCATTCTGGGCTTATTATGTAGCTTTGTCTGGAAAGCTAAAGTAGTATACTGCTGTTGGGAAGGAATATAATATTTCGCCCATAATTTACAGCTGAAAACAAAAGATATAATTATTAAATACAAATATTATCAAAGTAGGTCCAATGGTTTACAAACCAATAATTTGTTTTTAAATAGTAAAAGAGAAACACTAAGTTGGACAAGAGATTTACTTTAAGGTTAGAACTTACTAAATAGTGTATATGTATATTGTATACGTACCGCAAAATATACTTTACTGCAAATTTCGGAAACCTAAATAATTTAATGTTGTCAATGGTTGGTATGCTGTTGCACTTAGAACACTTTTTCTGTTTTCTTTATCCGCCATTGTAGCGTAGTTTTTAAGTCACTATTTCGTATTTCACTACGAATCATTGACTAACACATTGCACATCATATAAACGAAGGACATTAATCTCAACTCAACATCGTAAACTTGCAAAATCTTAGAAAAAGACACAAGCAAAACAAACACAACAACCAATCATGAACAACAATAATTTATACGGCGGCACCATATTATGAAAAATGAGAATTATACACGCATTTAGGTATTTTGGTGCTACCAGTAAAAAATATAATTTTCTACTCATTGAAAATCAAAACAAAAAGAAAACATTTATTTTTCTTTTACTGTCAAGGATATGCTAATATAATAATGTAGAAAAATACGACAGGCACAGTTATCTTTCTATGGATTATTATTTCTGTATTCAAAATTTTTGAGTGTAATTTATCTCTAGCAAAATCTTACTAATTATGAAACAAGACATTTATCTGACAAATGGCAATAATAAAATTCAGCCCCCGTAGGTATTTCATTCTGTCCATACAGAGTTGACCGGGCCTGGTATAATAATTCAACACAATACAATGCAGCGTGACCACTTTTTAATGAGGGAATCTACCAAAGACACTGCTAAAATCTACTGAAATCTACTAGATCGCATTTTAAAATCTACTAATTTTTAAAAGTAATATTTGAGCCATTTTGGGTAGATACGAATTGAAATAAATCACATTTGTTAATAAACACTACATTTAATCAATCATTTATGATTAACATTTTTGTATTAATTTTCATTGTCATCAAATTTTCACTTCTTTTCCGCGAAAGCAAACAATACAAATGAACGAAAACGAGTAATAAAACTATGTTGTCTATCATTTAATAGCAACTTAAAAATAATTTAAAGTTGAAAGACATCTTTTATAAAAATAGTCTTTATCTATATGGATATTTAAATTCAATTTGCTATGCCCACAGTAACATTCGTACATAAAGGAATTCTAAATCAATTTCGTGTGTTGCCAACTGTAAAATTAAAACTTTTTGGACATGGATGCTTGGTTTTAAGCCTAATATTCTTTGATAGCGAATTAATACCAAAACCTACAGATGTGTTTCTCATTTCTACTAAATTCTACTAAGATATTTTGTCCTACTAGATTATCGTCTTATTTGCTTCAAATCTACTAAAAAAGTAGAAATCTACTAAAAGTGGTCACGCTGATACAATGTAAGCGACAGATGATGCGCAGTAAAAGATCGCAATAGAGCAAACTCACCATCTCACTCAAACCCGCCTAAATATATATTGCCTCGCGCTCGCACTTACCGCAGACTTTCAAGGCCTCTGGCAATATGTAAAAACCGTGAAAACTGTCCGGCTACTGGGGTAACTTCTTTTGATAGTTCCCCAAGTAACATATCTAAAATTCAGCTTTTATACTATATTGTAAGCGTAAGTACAAAATTTTTGAGTTCGGGGGTGTCCGGCAGGGGGTTAAAACCATACTAAGTGTCCGGCAATGAATGACATCATTTTAAATATTATTCTAAAGAAAATATCAAAAAACCGAGCTTTATCTTTTAATGTATTTGAGGTGCTTTTTTTACACCTTTGTTGCCTGTTACCTGTCAAAGTAACCACTACCCAAACTACATTGTCGCTCATCGTTCTTACCTGTGTTGGTGACGTGCGCAGACAAACTTTCTGGTTTTATGAAATATTGTGCGCCTGGCTGAAGCGGGCTCCACGAAATTACGAAATGCTTAATAGATTCTCATGACCCATATGTTGCATGAAAAGGTGTCTTAATAAACTTTTAAGACAATCACCTTGTGGAAATTTAAATCAAACACATTTTGTCTACAACATACAGGTTGTTAGTGTAAACACCGTTGTCCTTGAAACCAGTGGTTTGGTTTCACTTATAGAAAGTAATTTCAATGAAAAATAACAACATTTTTTTTAGTCAAATCTCAATTTTTTCTTACAATTATTTCACCCTAGGCAAGTAGGGATATACCTACAGAATTCACAACAAAAAACTCAACATATCGTAGGTAGCGGCAGCGATTCGCGGTCAAGACCAATGTCACTGTGTCAGTGTGTTAGTTACCTTCGCTGCGTCGGTGCGGAATGTACGTGTTAATCTGATTTAAAACCGCGCCGCGCAGTGCCGACATTCTACGTCGCTTTAGGTTGTAGTTTTGGTTAAGGAGTTTCCTGGGAGATGAACCGACCTTACCCCGCTGGACTTTTATCTTTGGGGAGAAGTGAAGCCCCGAGTGTATGCAACTAAGTTCCGTAATACGTCCGAACTCAAAAGGCGAATTCTTAGTGTATTTAGAATAATGACACTGTTGTGCTTCTAGCTTTTACGATTAATGTAAAAGCTGATCAAAATGGAATTCATTTACGAGGATTTTATTTAATAGGTAAGTGTAAATAACCAATCAATCAGGCTACACATCAAGCTGTACAAATCCTTTGTCTTGGCCTCGCTTTGTATGATCTTTCCGTACAATGAACGTTCAGCTTATGCTTCAAATGCCCTTTGCGTTCCAGGGCCGCGGTACGGTATACGGTAAATACGCCAAAAATCCTACCTAATGATTTACTATTTACTATTATTAATGTATAATTTTCTTTGTTGTTAAATCTAACTTACATTAATTTAGACTCGTCACGCAACACAAGGGGTAGGAATTTTTATCTGTCCTAAGCAAGTGTGAAAGTATGAAGGAAAAGTTTCATGATAGTTTATGTGTACCATTGTGTTTATATTGAAATGTTGTGTAGGTAGCAAGGACGGGCGGTGATCTTTACAGTTATTCCGTCACTCGAGCGCATAGGGTATCCATGAATTTACGGACGGTGTCGGGCAGAAACTTTTTTAATTTTATAAAAGAAAATAGCGTTCTTTTAAATTTTTATATTAAAGCCAACCACCTATGGTTTCAGTGACAACGGTGTTTATACTTACACACTGTATATACACTTTCCTTCTGTTAAAAGCTATTTGATGGTTTTTAAAGTAGGTTGTAGAAATGTGATCGGTCTTCTTAAAATGTAAAAATTAATTTAATAAATAACATAACATAATATAAACACTCACGCATGTCACCCAGAGGGGTAGGCAGAGACTACAGACTTCCATTTAGCACGATCCTGACATACCTCTCTCGCCTCCTCCACATCCATATACCTACGCATACATGCTCGACGGTTAAGGGTACTCTTAATTTGGCCCATTTTTAATATATCGCCAATTTGGTCTGCAAACTTTCGCCTAGGACGTCCCTTTCCAGCTCTTCCATTCGCTTCAACATATATTTGCTTTGTCAGTCTTTCCTCATTCATTCTTTCTACATGACCAAACCACCGAAGCATTCCTTTCTTAATCCTGGTCACCGCATCATCTTGCAAACTACCCTCTTCTTTTATCACACAGTTTCTCACCTTGTCACTCAGATTCAGCCCTAACATACTCCTTAGCGTATAATAAATAAAAAATAAATAATGATATCTGACATCTTAGGTATTAAAATAAAGACTTTTCATAATAATGTGATTCAAGCTAATTTCGACATTATAGCCTTGACTGAGACGTTTTTTACTAGCTTTGTGTCTGATGGAGAAATTTTTGCCCTCAAACTATGTTGTGGTTAGTAGAGATAGGTTAGGTGACATTTTTTGGGGAGGAGTATTGTTGGCCGTGCGTGATAGCTACGAGGTTCAGGTGATTTCGAATATTGACGGTATGTCACCAGATAAAGAACTAGTATTCGTACTTCTAAACAGCAAACATGTAGTTTTACGTGGTGTGGTGTGGTGTACCGACCACCAAATTATGGCGATGATCGGTATATTGATGATCTAACTTACAGAGAAAATGCTTTATATGCTTATTCAAATATGAACGTCCTAATATTAGGTGATTTTAATCTTAATTCTTGCAGCACTAATGTAGACGTGGCCTTACCATGAAACGGTGCCAGGTGTAGGCGTCTCCCGTTAAATGATGCCCACAAAAACGGATGATGGTATTTAGAAGAACACGCAAAGGGCTGCTGTCTGGAGGTCGCCAGGGCGCGTCTGGAGCTGGCACTGAACGCAGCATTATGCGAACCGCCAGCCGAGCGCGAGGTGCTGCAAAACCACCCAGCAGGCCCTCGCATCCATCATCCCCACCAGCTGGCTTGGTGTCTACAGGGTCTTCGTGGGCTCAGCAATCTGGGTGTATTTTATCTATAATAATTATGTATTTAGAAATATATAAGTATGTTTATCAGTTGTCTAGTACCCATAACACAAGCTCTGCTTAGCTTGGGACTAGATGGCGTTGTGTGATAGTTGTGGAATATTATTATTATATTATTATAATCGGCATCCGCCACTGGTGGAGTACGCCGTATGCGTTGGACAATCCAGATGATCAGCAACGCATTGAGGGCGTATTTTAGGGCAAAAGGGTGCGAAATTGCAGGTTTTGCGTATCAGGCAAGGATGCATCGACTTTTTGCTGAGCTGGAGCCATCTGCAACCGTCACCGAGCAAAACCTGGCAGACCGAGTTCGGTGTATATTCTTGCGCTCAAATATATTTGATGTCACCGAACTCGAACGGCTACGACGTGAGGATGTTCCCTCATCGGATGAAAATGCTACGGCTGAGGATGTGGCGCCACAACTTGCAGAGCAACCGGCAAACGTGGATGCTGCCGTGAATACCCCAGTTGTGGTTGATTCAAACGATGATGGAACATTTGTCCAGTAGCTTATCCCACAATAAATCATAATCTAAGAGATCGAAAACTCTGGAGAGATCTAAAAAACATACATATACAGGTGCACGGCGCTTTGTGTGATATTTAACAGTGTGCTTTAGGGCCAGGATAGCATTCTTAGTAGACAGTTCAGACCGAAACCCAAACTGTGCATCGTGCAACTCAATATAGCTTTCAACTGTATATCCAACAAGCTATCAAGTATTTTAGCCATAATTGTTGCCAAAGATATAGGTCGATAATTACACTTATCTGCTACGTCACCTGTTTTGTTTTTAAATATAGGTACAACTGTAGTCTGCATAAGGCGGCGCGCGTCTTATTACAGTTTCCACCATCTCCCCCTTTCACTTGGCGAAGCGCGCCTCCGGTTGGAGGACCAAAGATGCGTCCACCAGTATCCAAACAGTAGCTAACAAATACATCAACAACTACGAAATGCATACGTGTGCGTTGTTACCATTCCCCCCGGTTTGAAGGGTTCCCTTCAAAACTAACTAAAGCTACAACTAAGACCCAATTTAAACTACTAACCTAGCCTAGAAAAGCAATTCGAAAACTATTGGTTAGATAAAAGACAGAAACGTACAACAGGACGCAATTATGACTCGGTTGCCGTAACACGAGCTATCCTCGTTACTCCATCGGATCCAGGAAAAACCTCTTCAATGATTCCAATAATGCTGCTATTGAATTTTGAAAAAACAGATAAACGCACTTGTATCCATTCGTATGTGACACTATAAAAGCCTGGTCAGAATATAGTATCCTGTAGCGTACTATGATACACTTTTAATTTTTAACAATCAAATTTGATATTATTGCAACGCAAAATTCAACCACATATTTTGTAATTAGTATGACGTGATTGTGAATCCAATTACGTTGAGCAAACATCACCTGGATGGAAATTCGTATGCCTTTATTAATGGAAGAACTATATCAACCTGGCACATTTATTAAATACACAATAATATGTTATTACTGTTATACAATATTTATTTAAAATTTAACGTAAAATATAAAAATAATAAAAAATAGTGATAATATAATATTAGTCGTTTACTAAATATAAGCTCACACGTCTATCACAGAGTAGGAAGAGACTATGGACTTCCATTTGCTCATTTTGCATCATGCTGCGTTAACTTCTAGGGCGACCTTGTCAACTCTACCACTCATTCTGCGTAACGTAGTTTTCTATATGCATTACAAAATACGACAACAAACTTAAGGTTACTAATAAGCCTCTTAGCACGTCTCTCCTCTGAGTCCTACGCTGCTAGGTGGCATTTTGCAGCACCAGTCCATATGCGACAGCAGTACTTAATGCGCTACTGGATTTGCGTTGTGTTTGTGTTGAATAAACCATTCACAGTTGAGGTTCGAAAAATTTTCAACCCCTAACAACTGAAAGTGGTCAGTGTACTCAAAAGATACATCCCGAAAAGTAGGAGCTAAGGTGAGCGGGCTCCTTTTAGCACGTAAGAGACTCGCTTGTGGTTTTGGAGGCGCTGTGTCTCATAAGCTTGGCATGACCACATTCGGAGACTACCCGTAGTGAGAGATCCGCACACTCAATAATAGCTTCTAGCCCAAGCATTTTAGCTTACTGTCAGCCACTTTGCACACCTAAGACGTGGGCGAATTAAACTAAAGAGGAGTACGCAGGCTGAAGGTGTTTTACGATGATGAGTTTCGCATGTTGTTCCGGCAGCCGCGATACTGTATCCAGCTCGGTATTGCGCGATTTAGAAACTATATTTGGGTCACAGAATATTCTTATTAAAATTATTTGTAGTATTTGTGCATACATTGACTTTTTAGCAGGTGGTCAAATATATTAATATCTAAACAATAATATTAACCTCCTTCCGCCCGACATTTTATTAATTAATAAATATAATAGATATTAATTAGCATTCGTATTTAGGGTTAATATTAAATTAGAATATTAATTTTATTGTATAATGGATCAATGTTTTTTTAATTATTATTATTATATTGTATTCCCATCTGGTTGAGCTATGAATATAAAATATAGTAAAATAAACAAGTAAATAATATATAAATAAATGGTGGAAGCCCCCGGAAGGAGATACTAAACGGCCGAGACAAAGGGAAAAGAAGGAACCGACGAACGTTGCTGGCGCTTTGGAGGAGCACTGCCTTCTGCAATTCAGCTCGGAGCGGTCTGTTATGGAGTACCAGTCCCCTCAGATGACCCGGCCGCCTGACTGGTATTAGCTCCCATGGAGTACCTTCTCCTTTCATACAGTCTTCCGGTAGGAAATGCTTTTTACTATCAGGTCTTGCCATTACTTGTTGGCTAAGGATAGAGAGGTAAGCCACTTATCAATATCGCCAGGAAGTAGGTAATTTAGGAGGTTGCTCACTTCGCTCAAAAAGCCACGCACAACATGTTTACGTCGCAAGTACAGCCTCGGTAATGACGATCTTAGGTGATGCAGGCTATGGGATGTCATAGGAGTGCTGACTTTTCTATCTAGGGTGTTCAGTTAGAGTCCACATAAATATGTAAGGTATACATGAGGACAGGTATGACCCAACCGTTACATGCGCATGTCTTATTTACGCTACACGAAAAGCTGTTAAACAATTTGGTCAAACGTGCATAAAACACATCGCAATCTGACTGTTTCATACCCGCATCATCGAACTGTCTTTTTAGCCTCGGAAGGGGTCCTAATGTTGATGGGCATATATAAATCTATGCTCTCAAAGTAAGCGACCTTACCCCTTTCGGCATGGAGGACCTCACTAGGTGTGCGGTCCTCCTTTCCCAACTCCATTCAGATAGAATTGCTAAAATAACAAGTAATGTTTAGCAATTCCATAAGATGGGAACAACTGGAGATGAATAACTTCTAACTTCAGATCATACACTATAGAAAAGGTGTTTTTGAAAAAAAATAGTAATCTTATTAATTAACATTACTAATATTCCTTTTAACCACCCCTGGTAAGCTAGAAACGCTTGTGTTAGGAGTGGTTCACGACATTAGTCAAATGGCGGATTCGAACTCACGCGCGATCTGTGCCCTGCCATTGGGCTACTGTCGCTTCAAAACTTACGTCCCTTCTTAATTTTGTCCCTCCTTTCCGAAACTGTAATTCCCTGCCGGAACCCTAAAATACTAACAGGGTTCAGAGTGAGGCAGAACCAGATTGGACACAAACAAAAAATCTTAGTAGTGAAGAGAGAAGAATCTCTATTCCGAAGCGAAATCTGGCCGAAGCCTCTTGAAACTGTCAAGCGAGTACAGCGTGACAGACCTCGAAACCCTTCAGCCAGCTTTTACAAAGAAATGAATTGTTTCTTGAAAAGGTGTTTCCTTTTTTCAATTAGTCTTTTGGCTGCTGAAAAAATGTCAAACTCTATTTCAAAGTAGCATCAACAAAAAGAAAACAAATTACTAATCGCAAACTTTGCAACCATATTCGAATCCGTAATAATTTCGTGGGAAGAAATCATCCGTCATCAAAAAAAATCATTGTTCTATTTTCGTAGTAGGCTTCCAGTTCAATTTTTTAGTTAAGAAGTCACACAGTCGTTATTAAACAAACAAACTAAAAAATCAAATAATGAAAACTAAGTTAAGCCTACGTAAATTATAATGTATTTTCCGTCTAGTTGTACAATACTGCTTTTATTAGTACTTCGATCAATATTAGTACAATAAAAGTTCTGCGTGATTTCAGCTAATGAGATCGGTTTTAATTTAATATTAATAACGTTTCGATATTCAAAACTGCTTGTTATTACCGATTTCATGGCTTCGTAGCGCAGTGTCTTCGCAATAAATTACAGTGCTGAGGGCCGCGGGTTCGAATTCAGCACAAAACAAGTATTTGTATGACGTACAAGTAATTGTTTCGGTTTTTTTTAAATAATAATTAATCTATGAAAACTGCCTCCACGGTACATGAGAAAATTCTAGTATGAGGTAACGTTTATCTCAGAAATAATAAAAAATAAATAAGGGTAAAAATATTTTTTGGTACAGCATTTGTTACACCATAGAACTTTTACTAAGCAATTAATGCCCTGATTAACTGCTTCTTTATTACAAAGAAATCATAAACATATCTAGTCCCAAACCAAAACTTCTCCTGTAACAGGGAAATTAGTAAACGATAAGTCACCTAAATTCACGGCTTGGTAACGCATGGTTAAGAGTTTAGCTTTGGTTACGGGTGTTTGTTGATGGAATCATAAGTACGTGTTACCACAACCCAGGAGAAAATCTTAGCGCAAGAGTAGGTAGTTTGGTTACGGGTGTTTGTTGATGGAATCATAAGTACGTGTTACCACAACCCAGGAGAAAATCTTAGCGCAAGAGTAGGTAGTCATTAAAGAAATGGAAATCGTTATAATATGCACGATGTAAATGAGTTAATACCACAGAATTATTACGATTTCTGTGGATAATACCTACTTGGTGAAGTTTGTGTTTAACCTTGTCAAAATATAAGTTGATAATTTATCAAAATATACGTAGCTTATTTAACATTTCCAAGATACGTTATGTTTGTACTAAGGCACCATGTCGGGCTCAACTCTAACTTATACTACGGCAACTTGTTCCGTCACCGGGAGGGCGACCATCTGTCCCAAGGGGTGTCGGATCATCGTTCACAAGCCTCTCGTTAACAACGTAGTAAAGACTGGGAGTGTGTCGACGAGGGTTGCGTACCTTATACTCAGAATTACCCAACGGTATACACTGAAGGTAATACAGGCTTACGCACCAACCTCGGCACATCCCGATGAGGAGGTGTACGAAATGTGTGAGGATATTTCTAGAGCCATGCATTCCTCCAAAACCCACACTATACGCTGTTAATGGGAGACTTTAAGGCAAAACTAGGCACAAGAAAGAAAGGGGAGCTGAACGTAGTGAAATTTGGGATAGGGCAACAGCTCAAGCTACCAGCAGCTGGCTGACTTCAGGGAGAAAGGGGGACT